TTTTGGTCCATAAATTGCATGCAATTAGCCAGGCGAAAACAATTAGCCCCATGCGATAATCATATTTTTATTGCAATAATTGAGTTACAAGTCGCATAACAGACGCTCAGCCGCATGATAAGCATTTGCCAGCTCGCTTCCATTCAGGTCAATGTGTTTTAATTGAGATGCTGCAACGGCTCGTCTTTAAGCTTCCGCGAGGTCTCGATTTGTTATTATTTATATTGTCTTTAGCTGCTTCTTCAGCTTCTCCGACACACGCACGCACACGCCTCTGAAGTATATGCAAATGCCGCGTATCAGAGAAACACTTTGATGGCATTAGAATTACAAATATCATTTGCCAGCATATCGCCCTAGCAATGGCAATGGCAATGCCAATGGTAACCGCATCAGCAGCAACAACAATCTACGAACAGCAGACCCAACAGAATTACGAAAGTCTCTTCTAAGCGAGCTCCCATAGTAATAGATGCAAATAAATATGTAAAATCGTTCGACTGGCGCGGCAGAAATACATAAATCAGATGAGAAAAGTTAAAATTAAATGCAAACAGTGGCAAGAGACGGCGACGAAATTGAACTTTAAGCTGAGCGTGGAACGTCGAGGAGGCCATGGAGGGTGGGGGAAGGCACGTAGTCCTGCCTCAAGGTACCCATGCGAGTGTCTAGGCGCCAGCTTCCTTCGGCTGCTCATTAAAGCAAGCATCAAACCGAACGTCGATAATTTGCAACAATTTGCATGCTACGTGAGAATGTAGTCGTCGCAGTCGGAGCCGCAGTCGGCATCTGTGACAGCTGCACTTGGAAAACACTTGGCCAACATTTTGGTGGGGCAGGCCCGGCTTTTAATTGGAAGTTGAAGGCAAACACGTTGGCATTCCGTAAATTACGTTAATTGGCAAATGTGCACAGATTTTCATTTTCATTTTCATTTGCATTCGTTGGCCAAATGCATTTATAAACGCATTCATTGAAGGCGCACGTGACCCTTAACCGATTACCGAATGATGCTCTACCTTTAGCAAGATAGCAACGCGCTTTAATAGTGTTTAATATTGTTCGCATTACTGAGTGCTCACTGTACATTCGCTGACCGAATTTGGTATAAAACAGCTTTAGCCTTAGCACATTGCTCGATGCCTTTATATGTATCACTCTGCTCAGAAACAGTTCAATTGAACTGTTCATAAAAATTAGCTAGTAAACTCCATACCGGCTAAGTGTAGTTGAATTGTTGGGAAACCATACTTTCTGTTAAGGATTGGCTTTATAAGCCACTTCTTAAGCTAAAATCTTACTGAACTCTTAGTTAGACTAAAGTATGTATAGTAAGTACTGATGAGCTAGTGAACTTGTAACTCAGCTGTCTCGACCCAAAGCAAACCCATTAAGCTTATTCCACAAACTGCCTTAGAATATCCAACTCTAATTATATGAGTCACAAAGTTTAATCAATAACTTTTCAGTTATTGACAAATTTATCTCAAGAATTTCAATTAAATTTAATTTTTTAATTTAATAATGTTTTTTAATCGAAAAAAAAACTTAAATATTTTGGGATTTAATTATAAGTTTCACTTAAAAGCAATAATTATTAAACTCTGTATAAACCTACTCCAACTCTTCAAAGTTGCTATGAAACTTTGGAAAATTAATTTGATTACATTTTGATCTCATCCGCTGAAGAGACTTGCCCTGCAGATTGACAAATAGGATGAGGAGCTGAGAAGCAAAGTCCATAAAAAATATTTCAGTAAGCGATTATAAAAAATAAAAATAAAAAAGCTTGCAGATAACATAACTATTTCTTTTTTAAGAGATCTCGCTTCACAATATAAAAGCCTCTTTGCTAGCATAAAGTCATATAATTGGTTACTAAATCCCGTTGGGCTGTTTAATGATTGTTCACAAATATAAGAAATAATGGAATAATAATCATTGTGTGAGAGAAATGCCTGAAAGCAGCTGCAACTGCACATTGCTGCAGAAAAATTGATGGAAAATGAACATTTTTTTTCTTCTTTCTGTATTTTGGCTTGTTCTCTGCACTCCGTTTGGCTTTTCTGAAATTTAATTCAGATGGAAGCTGTGGCCAGGTTAAAACTTTGCCATTTTCTCATGGCTTTTAATTAATTCCCTGTGCAAATGAAATAAATATTTCGCCCAAACATAAACTTGTTTTGGAAATAGTCGAACATTAGTGTTGTCATTGAAATGAAATTTCATATTTTGTTTGCATGATGTCAACATGGCTCTGCCCCTCCCCGACCAGCCCACCCTCACCTCTTCTCTTTATATTTTCATTTAATGGAGCATTTATTGGAGCTTAGCTTCAAAATTTATTATGCATAAAATGGCAACAGAAATTCTAATAAAATATCTATTGAAAGTTTTATTGTTTAGTTGAACACACACACAAACAAGCTAACTTTCACACACGTCTACACACATGTATACAGTTGTATAGAAAAAATATTTGCTTTTTCATATAGTAAACTTATGTTGTTGTTGTTGTTGCTGCTGCTTGAAGCATTTTGTGAAATATTCAATTTTTCTATGCATCGACCAAAATGTTGAAATTTTTGTTGCTTAGTTTTCTGCGTCTGCGGCATGCTCCCAACTATGTTGTATATAAGCAAAATGACTTTTTTCATATTTTTTGTTGTGTGCGTGGTTTTTGTTCATATTTTTGGCGGACACTGCGCGCCTGTGTATGTTGTTTTTCTATTTGTTTTAATAGACTACACTGCGAACTCGACTGTTTGGGACTTAGGGCTGGCGTTGGCGTTGGCGCTGGCTTTGGCAAATATCCTGCGGCACTAGCATTCACATTCATATGAGTTTATCGCATGGCGAGGGTGCACTGGATTTAGTGATTTGCTCGTTTATATGTATAAGTGCGGCATATGTGTGTGCTTACGGCTGCTACATATGTGCAAGGCTCTGTGGGGCTCTGTGTGGCTCTGTGTGTGTGTGTGCGGGAAAATCACATATACAAATGGTGATTTCACTTTCTCTTTGCCTGGCAGGCGTGGCATAAGACGTCGAGAGGCGCTTAGTTGAACTTAGCCAAAGACTTTGGCTTTAGCCTCGGTCTGCCGACTGCCAGCAGCTGGCAGTCGGATTGCGGCTGCTCTGAGACGTTTGTATTCCAGGTAACCAAAAGTGGTCTTAAGGCAATTGCCTGGGCACTGAATCTGTGAGCTCTTCTGGCTTCCAGCGGCAACATGTCAGCATTGCTTTATCCCTAGTACACGTAAACACATAGAGGCAAAATGAAATACTCTTACTATTACGACTCCAAAGACAAAGAACTATTATGAAGCAACTATCTGTCTTTAAGTTTAGTCAATGAATCTTACCAACTTTTGCTTATTAAGTTTCTTGATTTGATTACATAATAAGTTTCACTCGACTGAAGGTATATCTAACTATAATCCAACAAGCTTTAGCTTAGATGTCTCGGAAAAATGACGAATTTTCTTATAAGCAATGCCTATGCTTGAGATAATAATATAAATACGTAATAATATAAAATGTATATAAAATACTTATGTATGATAGTATGATTCGATTAGAATTCCAATTCATTTAAATTGGAAAAAAAATTGCATTAAGTCTTAAGATAAAATATTTAAAATATTTATTTACCCAATATTTTGAGAGCAACTTATCAGTTTAAAATACTTCATAATTATTTAAGCAATTCATTTCACAATGAAGTAAAATAAAGTTCATTCAATAATTTACACTCGATTGACCATCAACAATTTTTTTATATAAAAGTTTTTGCATGAAAACTACAGTTAAAACAATTAAAGAAGCATTTTGCTTAATAAATATATATATATGCATACATATATATATATATATATATATATATATATATATATATATATATATATATATATATATATATATATATATATATGAAAACATATTTATTTATGTATTTTTAAATTCAGTCTTTATAGCTTAGTTAAAGTAAATCTGATTTTCCGAGAATAGAGAGTAGACAAAACGAAATAAAATATTCTTGGTATAATCAATTCATTTGTATAATCAACTTGGGAAGATGTTGAAGTTCTTTTAATGGATTTAATTTCAAATGTGAATTATTGTAATATTTAGTTTATATATATACTGAAGTGCTTTAGTACTCGACTGAGTTTAAGCAGCAGAACTTATTTAGGTAATAAGCACTTAAGGATTTATAATTATTATTCTAGAACATTTATAGGGGCTGAGTCTGTCAGCCATTGCTAATCGTATCATTTAGGATTCAGCTCAGTTTTATCATTTTTTAATTTAAATGTATACTTCATATTAGATACCAAAGTTTTTTTTAAATCAAATTATTTATAACAAGGCAGAGTCCTCTAGTCGATACTGTTCGACTAGGAGATACCCTGAACCCTATTCCAATCATTATACGTTTCTTCTATACATTCATTACAGACGACATCCCATAGATAGAGAGATAGATAATTCTAAAGTTTTCAACATTTACAGAGTTCAAGCTACGCTTAAAAAATGAACTTCAACTATAGATAATGATCGGTAATAGAAAAATGGGATCAATTAAAAAATAAAATTCATAGATAAATAATAGATAAATGACATTTAAATTTCATTAATACATAAATATAAATCTACAGTTTATGGGATTTACCACGGACGGACAGACAGGGCTATGTAGACTCAGCCCGTCATCTTGCTCAAGAATATATATACTCCTCCCAGCACCGATCTACATTTTCTCAATAACATCATGCCCTAAGTTTCCATTTTCAATGGGAGTTAACCAAATAGAGCAAATATGTTTTGTAGTCTAGTATTATTCCAGTAAACGCGTCGCTTCCTTTCGACTCTTATACTGAAGTAAGACTGAACCACTAAACTAAATATAACAGTATATATGTATGTATATACACACGTATGTATGTATGGGTAGTTGTTTATCTACCTTTGGCAAACTTACAGAATTATAGCTTTACCTTTAAGCCAGCGTCCGTACATAAACTTGAACTTAATGCGCAAGTTTTAGCATAGAACTTCACGAAAGCCGGAGGAAAAAGTTTGGCTTTGGCTGTTTCTTTTGGGCTGGCTAATCCAAGGGCGAGGCAAAGCGCTTTCCTTTTTGTCCAGCTCACACAGAGGCAGAAAGTCAAGAATTTGATGAATTTAACGAATTTGATTTAATGTATTTTGTGCAGTTCGAGTTATTTTTGTTCTAATGCCAAAATATTTGCAGCTGCAGTTTGTATCTTAAGAATGCACTTGCACTCCGCACTCGTATCTGTCTTGCCCTCTCTTTCTCTTAGAGTCTCTTTCACTCGCTTGTCTCGCTTATGCCAGACGTTGACAATTGTGATAAATTATGACAGCACGCGAGCACTTGCCGGCGATGCTTGACTGGCTGCACTGAGTCCGCACGCACACACACACTCGGCACACACTCGGCACACACTCAGGCACACACTCTCGCACACACAGACGCGTTTAAACAATAGCAAGAGAGCAAAGTGAGCTTCATTAATTTGCTTTATTTTTGTTCATCAATTTGTGCTCAGGTTTTGCCCGTTGTTTATTTGGCAGCCAATTAATTGGCAGTGGCGTTAAGGCGTTGAGGCGTGGCAACTTCCAGCTAACTAATGAGCGCGAAAGCGAATGTCGATTTCTATTGCCCCATCTAGATCTAAGGATCTGCACGCCTGGCTGACCGTGTGCTGTCATTTATTTGCTTAAGACTATTGTGCTTGGTATTTCCTTTCATGTGTTGAATTTTGTATTTTTATTTATTTTTGTTTTCTTTCTATCTTTTTTTTGCAATTCACTTTTACTTCGCACACTTACACACACGCACGCACGCACAAAGCTTTTGCCTTTGCGAGATGAAAATCTTTCTTTTATGCTCGCGTTGTTGTTGTTGTTGTTGTTGTTTCGGTTAGCAGCAGCAACAATTCTCGTAATCCGCTTTTGGCCTAAATTTCAATTCTTATTTGATTCTTTTTCTTTGTACAGCTGCTGCTGTTGTTGTTGTTGTTTTTGTAGTGTATGTGTTGCTCTTTGAGCAATTTTTAAGTCTCTTTTTTGTTGCTTTGCCTTTGCGTGTTTATTTTAACGCGAAATTACGACAAATGCTGGCAAAGGTGCCCTGTCCCCACTCCCAGTTGCTTCGACCGCTGCCCGGACAACGCTGACTATTCGCACGCACTTTGAGCCGGCTAGGGGTCGCGGTTGTTAGGACTGGCACACACACAGACGCACTCGCACCTGACTCGACCCGCTGCGCAGCATCCGCGTCCACGACAATAATTTGTGGACTGGCTTACGCGCTATTTATTTAATTTTTTGTTTTTGCCTTTTCTTCAGCCTTTTGCCTAATTGCCGCACAGATTGCGAGCGATTGGGGCGAGTTTGCGTTAAGTTTGATTACTGTTGGCTTTCTTCTTGCTCCGGCTCTACACCCAAACAATGTCTCATTTTAGACACGAAACGATGCGCACATGAAAATTGTTTATCAGACGCGTCTGCGGAACCGATAAAATAAAGCGCGCGCGCGTGCGAACGACTGCGAGTACGAGAACCGAATGAGAGACTGAAGCGACGTAGTCGACAGGCGCTGCCGACCAGATCGAACAATTGGTTCGATGCAAATGTTCGATGCCAAACCAGGCCAAGTTGCAAGCCAACGCCAAGCGAAACGTTAATTTGAAATTGAAAAACCTTTCTGAGGAATCCGAAATAAAAGAGGCAATTGTATGACAATATCTGAATGTGTTTTATTATTCTATGAATGTGAGGTCCTGAGTTCTTGACCCATTTTATTAATAAATGCAAAGACAACATTCGCTCTTCTCAGCATTTGTTGCCAAGCAAACGCTATTCTTAGCGCAACAGTTGAACATCAAATGAATGCTATTTCCGTGATATACATTTTGTGCTACCAATTAACCCTAGGCACCAAGTTCGTACCCCTAAATAGGATTAGTGCCATAGTAAATAATCGGATGCTGTGCGAATACTGAACATCCATCAAATTCTGTTATGTGTTTCTGGCTGTTAACAGCATCGAACACAAATGTTGTGTACGCAACAGGAGAACGTGTTCGACGTCGCACTTCACGAAGGCGAGGCGAATGTTCGGCGTTTCGTTGCTCGGTCGGTCAAACCCCCCACCCACACGACCATGCGACGAGAGCCTTCAGAGCGCAATGATGCTCTCTTTCAACTCGCGTGCTCCTCGAGCGCTGCAGGCTCGGCTATTGTGCTACGCAACATGTTGCGGCAACATGCAGGCATGGACTTGACCTTTGGCAACAGCCTTTTTACTGTTGTTTTATGCAACCAATTAATAGACAACTCGAACACACACACACACAGGCGAGAGCACGTATCTCTGTGTGTGTGTGTGGGTGATTTATTGCAAGCAGTCATAAATCTGCGCACAGCATAAACAAAAACATGCATAATTTCCATAAATCTTTTATGGCGTCGTGTTAAAAGTTTTGGCCAGGCCAATTATGCGCCCAAAACTAGGCACTAATTTGACAGCAAGTGGCTAAAAACCCACTTCTGCGGGTCACTCAACCCAAGCCCCAGCACGAGCTGCTCCCAGCTCCCAGCTGCCAGCTGGCTGCTAGCTGCTAGCTGCTGGCAAAAGCCATAAGTAAACACAAATTGAGTTATCTGCTGGTCAACAGCATTAATGAAGCGCACACACAAGCAGCGTCAATTATTCGCCTCTCTCTCTCTCTCTCGCGCGCTGTGTGTGCCTGGGCTATCGATGGCCAGCAAGGACAATTATGACCCTGCTGTGCCATTGCTTTAACCCCAAATAGCAATGACCGCTCGTTAACTAATTCATTTCAATTTCTAGAAATGCGTCAAATTCGTCGTCAGTTAATTAAGCGAAGCCCAAGACGATTGCAACAATGCAAGCTCTGGCATTGATTCCAGGAAAAGCTAAAGACTCTCTCTGCTAATTCCCTTTAAGCTTGCAGAGTCAAATACAGTTATGCAATTATAATACAGCGAGCTCTCTGAAGATCTTTATCAACTCGTGAAAGGTAGGTCAGTTGGGTCATAAGTAACAGGACTTTATCACACTGAAGCAGCGCACAGTGGGGCAAACAGCAAAGTTTTCACTGAAAACGAATCTGAAAGGAAACTTTGCCCCGACTAAATAATCATAAATTTGTTCAAATTGTCGAAGAATTGTTTGGAGTAGAGGCAGACAAGTCACCCTTTGCGTGTATCACCCTGTATTAAGGCTCACTTCATGTGTTCATTACATTCAGATGCACTTAAAGTCTATGGAAGAAAAGGAATTTGCAGCAAATATCTCTAGAGGAACTCAATTTTAATCCAATTTAAAAATTTGGTTAGAAATGACACATGAAATACGTTGAACTAGAAGAGAGGCTAAAGATCTATAGCTTTTCAAGAAATACTGCCTTCACTAATAGTTAACTCTAATTATCTCATTGTGCCATATTTAACAGTACAAAAAATAATGCCAAATATATGTTCCAACTCCATTTAGAGCCCGCTATCAAACTGTTGCCTTAGCAACATTTATCAAAACTGAGCTAGTTTTGTGCAATGTGTCAATGCTAACGCATTGATAGGCATGTCAAGCAACTGAATCGCATGTCTTTTGTCTTTGTATATTTGACTGACATAAAGTTCAGCTGGCTGTCAACTTTGACAGCAACAATATAAAACGACATCAAGTGCCGGAAGTCTTCATATCTGCGGTCTCAGCATGCTGCTAGACACATGTTGCTTTCGTCGAGTGTTGCTGGCAGCATGCAGCTGCTGAGGATGTAGCCAAGCGTGCTTCGCAACATTTATTGTGAATGTCTTTGGCAACATGCACGTTGCTTCAGCTTAAAGTAATTGAATTTCATTTGGCCAACACCAGAAATGGCTAACAAGTGAGTAAGCTGTTGACCAATCGAATCAGTGATGACACGAATAATTCTTGATTGACAACTCAGTGCCCACATTTGCTGCCAATTGGGGTAGTGGCAATTGCTTATTTTTGCCACTTGCAAGACTTTTTCTTATTTCATTTTAATTGCTTCGCAGGCGCAAGTCAACTCAACAACACAAATACGAAAGACGAACACACGCACGCACACACACACAGTCAACAACTCATTTGCATTACGCTGTGCGCTCTGCGGGCTGCGGTTGCGATTGTGTGTGTGCGTTGGAGTCTCTGCCTCTGCCTCTGTCTCAGTCCCAGTCTCAGTCTCTGTGTGCTCATTAAAAAAGCGAAGCAGCTACGCAGAAAAGCGACATTTGCATAAATTGCGTATGAGTGTGTGTGTGTGTTTGTGTGTTTGCCTAAAAGCATGCAAAACGTGCCACTGACACACAAATGTCAGCAGCAGCAGCAGCAGTCGACAGTCGGCAGCAGAACAAAGCAAAGTCGAAAACTTGCAAATTTTAATGCATCACAAGATTTCAACAACTTCCTTTTGGCCCAGCTTGATGCTTCGATGCCTGCCTCCCGGCCACGCCCATCCAGTAAAGCTCATTAAAAGACCCAGCGCCCACCCGCCCGCCTTGCCTGGCGAAAGGGCTCCGCTGAGATTCGTCTGTAGCGAGTTTTGATGACCGTCGTTAAATGATCGTTTCCTCTTTTTATGCACTCCTCAGCTCAACTCTAGGCAAGGCAAGTGTGATTGACAGCTGAACACCGCCGAGTGAACTCTGACTGCCTGACGCCAGTCGCCGCCAATTTATGAGGGTGTCATTTACAGTTTTGGCTCGCAATTAAAAAGCAAGCCGGAGAAAGTAATATCTACCTCAAGGGTCGAGATGAAAGCGAAACTGTCTCTCTCTCTCTCTCTCTCTCTCTCTCTCTCTCTCTGTCTCTGTGTGGCTAGGCAACACGCATTTGTAATGGATTAACACATCTCCCAGGCTGAGGGATGGCAACCCCCATGGGCAGCCCTCTGCTGGCGACTGGCTTGTCATATAAATCAAACATAATCAACGCCAACTTTCAATAGATTCGTTCCTTCGACTGGAGGGTCGGGGCGTATAAATCTAAATTACGAACATGCTTAACGGCGAGCAGAGCTCTCGTCTGTTGCTCTCTGACCGCAGGGGAATTCAACTGCGTTCGACTGCTGGCGGCTTTAAGATCACAATCTCTCCATATTTTTCTCAGGCTGCTCGTTTGGTTCTCCCACTCTCGCTCCCTCGTTAAGTGCTGTCTAATGAGCCACGGCAGAGTTGACACCTAACCGAAAGCTGGCAGGCAACGGCGGCTGGCTCATTGATTTAATTGCAAGTTATTGATGAGCCGGAAATCGGCTTAAGTTTTAAATGCTCAGCGGCGACACAAACGAATGAGCCTTATGAAAAGCCATTGACTTAAGCAAATACATCACACAGCAGGCAAAATGGAAAAGTGTAAAGTGAACGACTAGCGCATACCCTAGCGACAGCCCGCAGATAGCTCTAAGCACTGTTCGGTTCAGCTGAAGTCCTAAATATGCTTCGAGTCGACTTCAGAGTATTTCCATAGACTTTCTTCATAATTTCTCATCTGTTCTCGCCTGTCAACTACACGCTTTGATATACCCTTTGTAATCGAAGGCATGGCCTCAGGTTGTGGCGTCCTGTTCGCAGGACGTGCCGAGCCGTGCGTGTGGGCGTCGACAACAAAGCAGCTCTGTTGGTGCACACCTCCAGATTCGGTTGTGGGCGTGCCGAACGAACACTATCTCATTTGCGGTCACGCTGGCGTGTCTACAACAGCCTGAGAGGCATTAGCGCACAATAAACTGAATTCTTATTAGCCAAGAAGAGAGGGCAGAACACAAGGCAAACGAAACACAAAGCATCTTTGCAATGTTTATTTGTTTATGTATATAATATAATATTTAAATTGGCTAACCATTAATATGAAAATCTGTGTGGGTGTAAAAATTGAACTGATTTTTTTTTCCCATTTCTTTAAGGATATGAAATATTTATAGAAATGTTTATACTGAAATATAAACTGAAGCCAAATATAATATCATCTCATTGAGAGTCGTTTCTGATTGAAGTATATATGAAAGTACATTCGCCTATGTTATCATCACAGAACCGATTGGTGCAGGTTGTCCGTGAGCGGAAGCTTAGAGCCAAAAGGCATGTAACTAGAGAGTGAAAGCGAAAGGCTTGCAGACAACCGTTACAGTGCGCTGCAATGCAACCTGGGGCAGTAGCTAGCGCCGCTGGACCATACACAACTTTTCGCTCATCGCTGGACTCCTCCACTAGGGGAGTGGCAAATCAGAAAATGTTTTATCTGTTGTATCAGAAACGCTATAAAAGACTGGAGATTGGATATTGTGAATATATGCAGCATTTGGAGCCAGCAGCCTTTAGACCTGGAATGAGTGTTGTAATGCATATAATATAATATTCATATATATTCAAATAAGCTTAGCTAACTTTTATATTTTACTAAATTAAGCTTTTATTATTAACATCTAAGGCACAAACATTTTTACAAGCATTGCAGTTCGCTCCCTGTGGCTCCCTGTCATTCAATGTCCTTATCTCAG